TAATAAACACACGACTACGACAATGTATGGTTTATCTGAGTTCGTCTTATTATAAATGTTATTATAATAAAGTATATAATAATGCAATGCTTTTATCACTGCTTAGAATACTATGAAATAAATTGCGTGCCTTATTCTGTGTAAGAAGCCACATCATCTCACAGAAGGATTTACTTCAAACACTCGACTGACGTTATAAAGTAAGTTTGGAGGAAAAACGTTATTAAATGTGGTATTTTCACGTGCTTTCAGATGGAGCAGCATTTACTTCACAGAGCCGTAGTTCACTGACAAGCTACGCAAACTGCTGTCCTTATCGCAGAATGATTTCTTCGATTTGATTATCGCGCGATTAAATTATCTGCGATTATGAACGCCATTTTGCATAGCTTGACACACTCTCGCACACACACACACTCACTCACTCACTCATACATACACTCTCTCTCTCATACACACACGCACACACACACACACTCACTCTCTCACACACACGCACGCACGCACACTCACTCACACGCACACTCACTCACTCACACACTCTCTCTCTCTCATACACACACGCACACACTCACACACACGCACTCTGCCACATCATCTCACAGAAGGATTTACTTCAAACACTCGACTGACGTTATAAAGTAAGTTTGGAGGAAAAACGTTATTAAATGTGGTATTTTCACGTGCTTTCAGATGAAGCAGCATTTACTTCACAGAGCCGTAGTTCACTGACAAGCTACGCAAACTGCTGTCCTTATCGCAGAATGATTTCTTCGATTTCATTATCGCGCGATTAAATTATCTGCGATTATGAACGCCATTTTGCATAGCTTGTCAGTGAACTACAGCTCTGTGAAGTAAATGCTGCTTCATCTGAAAGCAGGTGATGGAGATTTACTACTAATCACAGAACTGGCTTTACTGACGAGATGTGCATGACAATCGCATTCGATTAATCGTGCAGCCCTAACAGGTTTTGTTTTATTTTGTCTCATGAATCAGATTATGATTACTTTAAGTGATTTTACGGCATTGTTTTGAAAAATCTTTGATGTCTTCTGTAGCCATCAGGACAGTCTTTGAAAATCACAATCGTTGTTCCCGTGGTAACGGGACAGGTGCACTGTGGGAATAATAGAGGCAGACATCTAAAATACAAATAGGACTGAACTATTGAATGCTGTTTTTAGTTCTGTTTGTCCTGACATAATGTGTTTTACCTGAGATCACAGCACACTGAAACACAATTACATATTAAATAGCATGAGTCACAAACAGACGATACACTCCCTCCTCAGAGAATCAGAAGTCAGGGTTTCATGTGGTCTGTGTGTCTCAGAAACACGAGCAAACAGGGAGACTTCAGATGTGGTCACTATTGTGTGTGTGATGAACCCATGTTTTGTTCCTCAAATAGATCAGGATCACCACAGTCTAAATGTGTGTTTGCATAAACAACAACTGCAGCAAAGCAAACGCACACAATCACACGAGAGCAAAGTCACACAGAAACACAAGATCAGAGCCGCTGGAACCTGTTGAGTGAGAATGAAACCCTCAGGGTGAAAATACACACACACACACACACACACACACACACACACACACACACTCACACACACACGCACTCTCTCTCACTCACTCACACACGCACTCTCTCTCACACACACACGCACGCACGCACTCAGACCTCAAAATCTATATTAGTGAACACACCAGTGATTTCTGGATTAATTTTAAGGGTTATTTCATCCAAAAATATCAATTCTGTCATCATTTACTCATCTTTCTGTGGAACACAAAAGAAGATATTGTGAGAAATGTCTCAGTGTTATTTGTCCATATAATGAATATCAATGGGCTCCAATGTTGTTTGGTTCCCACTACTAATCACAGAACTGGCTTTACTGACGAGATGTGCATGACAATCGCATTCGATTAATCGTGCAGCCCTAACAGGTTTTGTTTTATTTTGTCTCATGAATCAGATTATGATTACTTTAAGTGATTTTACTGCATTGTTTTGAAAAATCTTTGATGTCTTCTGTAGCCATCAGGACAGTCTTTGAAAATCACAATCGTTGTTCCCGTGGTAACGGGACAGGTGCACTGTGGGAATAATAGAGGCAGACATCTAAAATACAAATAGGACTGAACTATTGAATGCTGTTTTTAGTTCTGTTTGTCCTGACATAATGTGTTTTACCTGAGATCACAGCACACTGAAACACAATTACATATTAAATAGCATGAGTCACAAACAGACGATACACTCCCTCCTCAGAGAATCAGACGTCAGGGTTTCATGTGGTCTGTGTGTCTCAGAAACACGAGCAAACAGGGAGACTTCAGATGTGGTCACTATTGTGTGTGTGATGAACCCATGTTTTGTTCCTCAAATAGATCAGGATCACCACAGTCTAAATGTGTGTTTGCATAAACAACAACTGCAGCAAAGCAAACGCACACAATCACACGAGAGCAAAGTCACACAGAAACACAAGATCAGAGCCGCTGGAACCTGTTGAGTGAGAATGAAACCCTCAGGGTGAAAATACACACACACACACACACACACACACACTCACACACACACTCACTTACACACACACACACGCACTCTCTCTCACACACACACTCACTCACACACACACACATACTCACTCACACACACACACACACTCACA